GGAACGGGGTATCTCACCTTGCCAGAACTTGTTGGGAATGGGGTATCTCATCTTATCAGAAGTTGTCGTGAACGGGGCATCTCACCTTATCAGAACTTGCCGGGAATGGGGTATATCACTTTATCAGAACTTGCCGGGAATGGGGTATCTCACCGTATCAGAACTTGTCGGGAACGGGGTATCCCACCTTATCAGAACTTGTTCGTAATGGGGTATCTCATCTTATCAGAATTTGTCGTGAATGGGGTATCTCACCTTATCAGAATTTGTCGTGAACGGGGTATCTCACCTTATCAGAAATTGTCGTGAACGGGGTATCTCACCTTATCAGAACTTGTTGGGCACGGGCTATCTCACCTTATCAGAACTTGTCGTGAACGGGGTATCTCACCTTGTCAGAACTTGTCAGGAACGGGGTATCACACCTTATCAGAACTTGTCGTGAACGGGGTATCTCACCTTATCAGAACTTGTCGTGAACGGGGTATCTCACCTTATCAGAACTTTTTGGGCGCGGGCTATCTCACCTTATCAGAACTTGTCGTGAACGGGGTATCTCACCTTGTCAGAACTTGTCAGGAACGGGGTATCACACCTTATGAGAACTTGTCGTGAACGGGGTATCTCACCTTATCAGAACTTGTCGTGAACGGGGTATCTCACCTTATCAGAACTTGTTGGGAACGGGGTATCTCACTTTATGAGAACTTGCCGGGAATGGGGTATCTCACTTTATCAGAACTTGCCGGGAACGGGGTATCTCACCTTATCAGAACTTGTCGGGAACGGGGTATCTCACCTTATCAGAACTTGTCGGGAACGGGGTATCTCACCTTATCAGAACTTGCCGGGAATGGGGTATCTCACTTTATCAGAACTTGCCGGGAATGGGGTATCTCACCTTATCAGAACTTGTTGGGCACGGGGTATCTCACCTTGTCAGAACTTGTCGGGAACGGGGTATCACACCTTATCAGAACTTGTCGTGAACGGGGTATCTCACCTTATCAGAATTTGTCGTGAACGGAGTATCTCACCTTATCAGAACTTGTCGTGAACGTGATGAAC